GAAAGTTGTTGACTATTTTTGACTCTATTGCGCTAAGTCTAATTTCTATTTATATACTTGCTACGTACAACGTTATTTACGTTGTTGTATGTTTGTCAATATATAGGAAATAAGAAATCCGCAATTACTGTATAAGATTAGATGGAAAGTATGCTTTAGTTGCGTCGGATTTGCGTTTTACTAGGAAATACAGAGGGCTGTTGGAAACTCTTTCAGGAAAAAGAAACGCAATAATTCGTGGACACAATGCTTACGAGTAAAGAATGAAGACTTGGGTCGGGAAGTTGTTGACGAGGATTTTATCCTAGGTGGTCCTCCCGGTCCTTGCCAAGAAGTCATGACAAATGGATGTTCGCCAACATCTGGACTTGTACTTTCGTCTGAATCATGAAATGAGACATTTCATTTGAGGAATTAGAGTTTAACTCACTTAGGTTCTCATCGTTCTTCAACAGATGAGTTATGTCCTCTACAGAGGAATGAATATGCGATAACCGCGTGCAAGTAAATCCATCACCACGGAATCCTCGAGCACAAATGCATCGAGGGCCATCAGCGCCTTCTTCACAGGATCCATCAGAGGAGCAAGATCTGCCAAAGCGTGAGTAACAGCGCTCTACTTCTGCAACACAAGCAGATAATCCAATAAAGGAAGTATGAGAATGGAGCTTACGTGAGCATTCTTTCCCATTCCCTGAATATCCCTTTCGGCATCGACACTCGTAGCCACCCACAGTATTGTGACATTCGGCATTTTCACCACAAAGGACCATGCCAGAAGAACACTCATCGATATCTGAGTTTAGCACTTAGGAACATTGGGTCGAGATGGTAAAATAACTGGGTTTACCTTGGTCACAGTTGGGCCCAGCCCAACCAGCTGCACAACCATTCGCACAAACTCCTGAAGAAGTATCACAAGGGAAACCTGCCGCACAATTACAGGATCTTTGACATGAGAAGCCATAGTGACCAGGTGGACAATCTGAAAACCTCCCGGATTTGAATAATTAGAATGATCCCACTTTGTGTTTAAAGATGTAATTAAATATTAACCTTTATCGCAAAGTGGTGGACCTTGTCTTCCAGCCGGGCACGCCCCAATACCGTCGTCAATGCGAAACATCCATTTACCTGGTTGGCCGACATTGGAATGGGAGGAAAGCATGTCGTTTGGAAGGGGAAGGAATGCAGTAGGTGAGGCGATTCCTAGAGTAAAAATCGTGTTGTTGAAAATATAACAAGCAAGTCCGACTGAATCAAGACACCTTGGCGAAACCTTTTTACGTTTTCAAACTAAAAAGAAGGCTCTCGATGATAAATATCTTGCAACAATCTCTTTGTATGAACTACGCAATTTAGCGACTTTTGGAAAAGTCCATTCGAATTTCTTTCAAAAGCTTATGAATTTCAAGCGCCGTAATCTTTACTGCTCAACATGAGTCTAAAAGCATCGCTTCATAGGTTTTAGACAGCTTATGTTAAAGCCTTGAGATGAGCAACTAGCTAAAGTGATGACTATTGTTGTTGATGGTTAAGTTTCCTTCGTGATTTCCACTAATTTTTCCGAATTTTGCAACACTTCATTTTCGGGAAAACAACAGAATTTCTTTCTCCGATTTCAAGATGAATGCAACCAATGCTCAAGAGCTTGGGAAAAAGCTGTTTGTTCGTACGAAATATGTTCATTGAACTTCATCAAATTTCGTAGTTTGATCATCCCAATGCTCTATTTGTAATGGTGCGTGACCTGAAATGTAACCCATTCACCTAAAAAGTTGAATACATTTCGGATAAAATTGTTAGCAAACTCAAAGTTTGAGATACTGCTCTTCTGCAAATTGCTTGATATGTAATCAAACGTAGTATTATATATACA